TGGAGGTGTGAATCAGGTTTAATGCAACCACACTTCCATAGAACTGGTACCAGTTACAAAATTCTGCTTCTCCATTCCCTCCCAACACACAAGGCAGTCGTATGAAAGAGCCTGTTTGCAGGCACAAATTTTGAAGGTACAAAGAAAGAGGCTCCTTTGAAACTTGACATATAATATTTCATATAAGATGGGTTTGATTAGGATAGGTTTTAAAGGACTTGGCTATACCCAAGCCTCAATGACCTGCAGGAGGACTCTGCCTTTCTGGATGAGTAGAACATACATGAAGAACAAGTACAATGTTTAGATGTTAACTTAGGCCTGATCTACTCACAAAGTTGAACACGAATGTTTGATCTGATTTCCTTAAACCAATGCGGATCCCTTTGTGGACACTCTTAGTTCAGTTTAAACCTAGCTTTTACCAGTGGAGCTTCAAGCTGCAATAAAACAAGTATAAAACGAGTTAAGAGGGTCCCCACACGCAGGTTTGTACTAGAGCAACTGAATCCATTTTTAAATTGGTGCAACTCTTGTGTGTGGACAAGGTTTTGGTGCAGTGCTTCTCTTAAAGAGGAAGACACCTACAGATCCCATCCTTTCTAAAAACCCAGCAAACCCCCTGTCCTTTTGAAAACCTGCTTTCCAAACCGCTTGGAGGCAGACGCTAGGAATTGTTCTTACAAGGCTGTTTATAAAGAGGGATTTTTCTGGGAGGTCGATAATGGATTCTCACGCCGGGTAGCGATTTTGGAGATTATGCCCAAGACTAAAACTAGCAACTTTGCTTCCGGTTGCTGAGCTACAGTATTAATTCTGCAGCTTTTGTTTGTTGTTGTTGAAGGGGGCGGTTAGGAAGGGTGAGTCACTGTGTGTGTGTGTATGTGTTGCAATCCCTTCCCTTCTGCCTGCACCCTCCCCCATTCATTATTTTGGCCAGTGCTGGTATTTCTTAAGTTCTGGGCTTGCCATTCTGCCCTGGGCCGCTAGAGGGGAGCAGCTGGGACAGTCTCCCCCGCTGGGTGTGTTGCTCTTGTAGCAGGAGGGACGGACTCCACTAGTGACTTCCTGAACCTTTCCTTTGAATCACAAGGGTGTGACCTCTGTGGGCTGCGTTCCTAACTTCTTTCTCTAGGTGCAAGCGTGCGATTCTCTAAGGATCCCGGGCTGCTCACCAGGAGGCACCCACCTCTCGTTAATGTGCTGATCTAGGCCCTGTTTCAGCAAAGCACTAACCCATGTGCTTAAAGTTAAGCACGTGCCTAAGTCTTTGCTGAATCAGGGCCTGGTTACTACCTAAACCGTCTGGAGCAGGGGACTGCATCTTATCAGCTTTTTTGCCTCCAGTCAAGTGCATCGAAGTTGATTGACCCCCACAGACTTCAGAGCCTGATGATACAGGCTGCTGCCTGCTCCCTATAACATCCCAGGCTATCCATTTTTCTGCCTCTGCTAGTTATGCTTTTTTCCCTTCCATTCTGCAGCTCCGTAGACGGTGCGCTGCGCGCTGTCTGTGCACTAGCTTTAGCTAGCTTGCTCCGTCTCTCGTGGGCTGGTCTCAGAATTGGATTTTTCTCTCTCACCGCTGTTGCACAGAGAGGGTGTGACACTGATTACAAAAATATAAAGACCTATCACAAGACAAAGCTGGAGCCCCGGGGAGGGCCTAGACAGGAGGAGGGGGAGGGCACTTGAGACTAAAATTAGAATGAATGCACAGAACTATCATGGTTTACCAGGAAACGAAAAAAAGCTGATACGTTGCTTTTAACAGTGGCTGTTGTGTTTGTCCTCTCTGAAGTGTGTGTGTGTGTGTAAATCCACTTCTTTCTCTCTCCCTTAGAGCTGGGTAAATTGTGATAGTTAGAAGGTGAGATCATCTAAAATAGCCAAGAACAGTCTTGCAAAGGGCCGCTCGCCCCAGCACAAAATTTACTCATCCGCCCTTCACCTGGATTATAAAGGGAGGAAGCTTATTTGCATTACAATAGCAGCTAGGGGCCTCAAGGGAGAACTTCCTCATCTGGCTAACATTGCTTGTTGAGGGCTGGTAGAATTCTGCAAGGATGACCTGAAAGAAGCTAGATCTTGTAAAATATTTGGTGCAAAGACCTCTCTCTGGCGTCAACCACACCAGTGACCTGGGTGTACAAAGATTGCTTCACTTCTGCAAATGGTTGCACAGCCAATCAGTGTGTCCCCCCCCGGCTTTGTCCCCTGAGATGACTGTAATGATCTGACTTCTTCTCCTTCCTCTTCACTGTATCTGAGTTGTGCATGGGGCTTGCCAGTCCTAGAGGGTGTTTCTGCAGCCTCTGATGCACTTCCCTTCTCCCCAGTCTTGAAGTAGCCAGGTTCCTCCCCTTCGCCCTCCCAAACCTATGGCATATTCTGACCTTTTGTACACATTGTTTCTCCTGGTCTATTTATAGGGGGTGGAAATGTCAGATGCGGGTTCGGGGGGCCTCTCTGATGTTGCCTTTAAAAATCGAGAACAAACCCCTCTGTTCCACCTCTTAAATGTGCCTTTGAAAGATTTATGTAGGTGGGACAAGCAGAACCAATCAGATTGTGCTGTGGGCACATCTGAGGGCATTTGCCTGTCCTCGGTGCTGAGGGTCGGGGGTTAGAGCCTGGGGATTGAAGAGCAGAGTTGCAGTAACCCAATCAGAGCAAAGTCCTTAGTGAGACGGCAGAGGTAGCTGCTCATCCTGCAAGTTCTGTTTGTTGTGGTAACGCTCCTGTCTCGGTTGCTACCCTGGGTCACTGGGATATTGTTAACATGAGGCCCTGGTGATTCCGGAGAGGGGACCCACGATCTGGACACTTGTTTAGCAGCAGAAGTAGCACTACATGTACACACGTCTTCTCTCCTCCCCCCCGGCCACACGAGACCGCTGATCAGGCAGACAGTCACTGCCATGTGTTCAGGGGCTGCTTTCTAGCCTCTGAATCATTTTTTTTTCTCCATTGGAGCCTCTAACTCGTAGTGAATGGGAAAAGCTGAACTCTCGGCCAGCCGCGGGTTAGAAGGGAGATCAGATCCCTTGCACTAGATCCATGGAAACTGTTTGGAGAGATGGGTGGAGGAGGCTGTGGTTTGCAAGACCCTTTATTCCCATAAGAGCTGTTACGGTAACCCCTAGGATACTGGAACTGACCAGTTATTTGAAACATTCCTTTTTTGGCTGGTTTGTTCATTTGGCAGCACTTTGCATATAGCCAGTTTCATCCTTTCCCCTGTGAAATCAGTTAGTCAGTTTCCCCTCTTTGCCTGGGTGTCTCTGTCCTTTGCTGTTGGGTGAGAGGTTTTAAATAGGAAAATGTGACTGTGCCCACAGAGACTGGCTGGCGGAAGAGTTGTTCAGGGACAGTTGGAGCACCCAAAACTACTCTTAACTCAGAGTACCAAGCGCAGTAGGGACCGGACCGTGGGGTTCCTAGGTACTACCATATTGCTACTAAGTAATCTCCTTCAGAACTGACTAGATTTCATTGCAGTTGCATCCCTTTAAAATAGCTTTACATTTTTTAACCTGTTAGTGCCCCTTTAAGATCTTGCTGCATAGCAGCAACAGAATCAGACAATGAAGTTCTGGGTACAGAGCCAGCACCATCCTCAAAACAAAGCCAGGCAAAGCACAAGCAGAACAAGCTGAGCCCGGGGCAGAGCCTCGGTGAATTTCACCTGAAGGCTGGTGAAGGGGGAAGAGTCTTGCACCGACACACCTTAAGCCCTGGAGCTTTTTTAGGCCAATGCTGAGACGAGGTTGTGCCTCCTCCCCGGGCCAGGAGGGGCTGCAGCTTGCTGGGGGCTGCATTTCAGAAAAGCCGCACGAGGGGAGGAGCTGACTGCAGCGATTCCGATGCGCCTTTGGGAGGCAGGTGGCGGAGGGGTAGATTGGTTTCAGCCTGTTCTGAGGCGGGAGGGCGGGTAAATGCCAAGATCTTCCCAAAGTCGCTGATCACGTTGGATGTCCAAACTGAGATGCCTTAAATCTCTGTGGCGCGGACACGGGTCCCCCTCCCCGGTGCTCCCTGAGGGAGGCCGTGCAGTCGCAGAAAAGTTGGGCTTTACTGGTAGCATTCGTCCGAAGACGGCACCCTCCTTCCGACGCGGAGCGGTGGGAACGTTCTGCTGTTTCATGGGTGTGCTTTGCGGAGGTTAGAAAGTGGTATCGTAGGGGGCTGGCGTCTGGCAGACTAGCAAACGTCTAGTGTCAGGTTCATCAGGTCAGCAGGGAATGGGGACAAGCAGCAGGGCGAGATGTGGGAGAGGAATCTAAGGGCTGGGTTCCTTTGATACTGGAATAGGACAAAGGCCACAATCCTGAATAGGCCCCGGTGGGATGATCTGGACGCCATTACCCCAAGGGCTCTCCTCCATCTCTGATGTCAGCGGCTTTACACCCCCTCAGGAGAGGTGCCAAGGGGCAAAGTAACTTTTTAAAGGCCAAGCCAAGTTGGTGTCACCAGTGGAATTAGAGCCCAGGATATCCTGGGTCCCAGGCTTACAATCAGACCACTCTAGCCCAGTGGACAGGGAAATAGAATGGGAGTCATGCTTGAGGCATTGGTTGTGATCTTGGGCAAGGAACCAGTCTCTGTTGCCCTGTCTCTGTCAATTGCTAACATCAGTTCAGCTCCACCATCATTGGGAGCCTAGTGTATGCCAGCCACAGTTGTGGCCACCACATCAATTAGACCTGCTCTGATCAGGGCTAGACGTTGCGGCGGCTATCGCAGCGCCAGTTTTACAGTAGGGCTGCTCCGGTGGCTGTCGCAGGTGGCCTTCCAAACTTCATGGCAGGAGAAAAGTCTCAGCTGACGCTGAGAGAGGGCTGGTGTCATCCTTCCTTGAGACTGAAATGGCTTAATCCAGGTAGTTCCCAGCTGACAATGACTGGTTCTGCCTTTCTAGCTTCAGCAGATGGTGTGCAGTGTTGTGGTGGTCGCTGAGGTACAGTCTGTCTGATGCTCTATCCTTTCTCTCCCTGCAGATGTGCACACCTAGCAATACTCCAGCCACACCTCCCAACTTCCCGGACGCACTAGCTATGTTTTCTAAGCTGCGGACCTCAGAGAACCTACAGAGCAGCAACAGCCCCATCACATCTATGGCCTGCTCTCCACCGGGTAACTTCAGCCCCTTTTGGGCCTCCTCACCTCCCAACCACCAACCCGCCTGGATGCCACCCTCCTCTCCAACCAGCCACAACCTCCACCATCATCTCCACCATCAGCAGCCCATGTGGCCACCCGGGTCTCAGCAAGGAGGCTCCCAGCAAAAAGCTATGGCTGCAATGGATGGGCAGAGATAAGACTGGTTAACATTGAAGGGGGGGGGAGGCCGGGGGGAGGGGGGGAGAACAGAGAAGAGGTGCAGGAGATCAGGGCGTGGGGGAGGGGGTTCCCGAAGATGGCACTGGAATATTTTATAATTCTTTTTGTAACTCTGCTGGGATGGTTGTCAGCCCATGTGATTTTTTCCCTTCCAGAGAGTCAATAACTGGTCTTCTCTTTTTTAATATATAACTATATAATATATAAATATCTAATGTATATAAATCCAGAGAGAATGAGAGCAATGGAAAGAGACTGGGCAGTGGAAAGAGACTGGCAGCCCGGTGGGCAATCGCAGGATGGTCACGACACTGCTTGGGTGAAGAGGATGTTGCTGGACACAGAGCTTCCCTTGGGCAGAGGGTGGGCTGGCTCAGAAGCTGTTGCCATTGGCTTCACTTCCCCCCTCCCCATTTTTTGGCTGCTGCTGGGGTGCCGCTAGATGAGACGGGATTGGCCGTCAGAAGGCTGTATGACTCGGACCCATGGCTTGCCTGAAATCTGCTCTTACAAAGTGAGGGTGGAGGGGGAGACGCACCCACTGAAACGTGGCCGCTGTTGGAAAGCGTCCTGCGCGGGGATGGAACATGCCACTTGAACCCGGAACTCCCGTGCTGCAGGAACGTGACTGGGGAAGGAGATGCATGGCTGCACATTCAGCTTCCCTGCCGGAACAACTTGGACCAGGAGGAGCATGGCACGTTGCTGACACCTCTCCCCTCTCGGTAACACCAGGCTGCGTTTTGGCAGGCTCGGGGAACGGGCGTCGGAAGCTCCCAAAGGACAGTGTGACTCTGAGATCCTAGGTAGACCAGTCCACTGTAGGTCAGCGAGAGGATTGGGGGATGGAGCTGGGGGTCTGGATTTCCTGGACATCCTTGCTGGGCATGGTAAAGCCCTCCTCCTTTGGCCTCTGTTGAAAATCATCCAAGTCTGCGGCATGTGCCCCGAAAACAAGCCAGCCTGGGATTCGTGCCAATTAAATCTCACCATGCCCAGGCCCTGGGATGCACCTTTTTGCCCCCTCGCCCTGGGGAACAGTTGGTCTCCTCCTCCCTCCTGTACTGGCCCTGTTCCTACACCAGACAATGCTCAGCATGGGGAAGCTGAGCTGGAAGGGCAGTTGTGCAAACTATAAAGGACCATCCTCCCCCGCTCGGCTTGGCAGCAGGGGCCAAGGGCTCCTTTCAGCCGGGGCAACAGGGAGGGGCTGCGGCTTTTGGGCTTTAGTTTCCAAATCAGAATCTTGCTTAAACAGGTTGAAGGTTTTTTATTAATTTAAAAATTAAAAAAAAAATCACTTTTTTAACCTAACGGCTCCCGGCCTTTTCTCTGCGCTGCTGCTGGGTAGCTAAAACCAACCAGTGCCCCAATAATGGTGAGCTCCACGCGGGGGCCAATGAAGGAGGCCAAGGGGTGCTTTCCCCCCCACATTCCCCTTTTCCTGTGCATTCTGGTCTGGATTCTCACTAACACCAGTCTGGCAGTGTAAAGGGGCCTTGGGGTGGCTGAAAGCGTACTACTGCCTCCTTGCACTGCATCCCTCTGGCCAAGGGGTGTTAGGCTGGGTCTAGGCCCAGATTTTTGTACTGACTAACCGTCTGATTTAAGAACGTAGGAACAGCCATACTGGGTCAGACCAGTGGTCCCTCTAGCCCAGTATCCTGTCTTCTGATGGTGGCCAATGTCAGGTGCCCCAGAGGGAATGAACAGAACAGGCAATCAGCGAGTGATCCATCCCCTGTTGCCCATTCCCAGCGTCTGGCAAACAGAGGCTAGGGACATTTCAGAGCATGGTTTTGCATTTTCTACTGAATGGGTGCAACGCCTAGTGTGGACACAGTTATAAAGGTGCCTAGTACCGTTCTCCTAACATACTGGCATACGCTGTACCAGCATAATGGTGCCTCATGCCAGTATAGCAGCATTGTGCTGTTCCCCGACACTGGTTTCAAACACGTGGCTAAAGTGCTGTATCAACCAGGTGCAGATGCAGCCTTTGCCTGGCTGAGAATTCTGCCCTCTCACACACCCCCACCCACACCCCCGTCATCCTCTTGATCTCACTTGAACTCCAAAGCCGCTATTCTGTTTGTAGCAGCCAGCAGTGACTAAGGATTTTCCTGAGCCTCTTCAAGGCAGGGCTTGAAAAGTTTGCCAGCTGCCTGCGAGCCAGAGGCAGGTATGAAAGGCAACGCCCTGGTGAAACAGACGGCCGGGAAAAGGGATGGGGCTGGGCTTCTTGCCAGGGGCCCGTCTCAACCCTACAGAGGATCCCTCCTTTGTGTTCGTCTCTGGCAAGTGGGAGTATGGAGACAGGCTAAGTCTACGCCTCTTGGACTGATAGAAGTGGAAAAGCAGCTCTTTCCCACCCCTCTTCTCCCTTTGCCCCCCAAACCCTGGCTGCTGGGAAGGGGAGGGCTCCTTGTCCACTCTGCCGCTCCCTCAGTATCCCCCGGCACTGGCCTCCCCTGCCACCGCACTCAGCTTTCCCCACCACTGGCTCAGATTCTTGTCCCTTTGCTAGCCACAGCAGCAGTGAGGCTTAGCCCCACTAGCTAGAACAGCAGCACCCAAGCTGCCTGCAGCCTCAGGAAGCCGGCCTCGTGTCAGTTTTACCGGGGGGAAGTTCTTAGCAAATAGGAACCTTAAATTCTGCAGAAGTGCTCACACCCTGTCCCGGAGCCTAGCTGATCCAATGGTGAAGGGAGGAGATGGGGGGGCTGGTCACTAAAGCAAAAGACTAAGCGAGGTGCTACTGCAGAGATGGCTCAGAGGTGCTCCATGACAATGAGGAGCAGCACGTGCTCAGTGTCTCTAGGAACGAGTCTTAGCAGAGTAAACACGTTAGAATTGGGCATCATTGGCTCATATGCTGGGGGAGCTTCTCCCCACCCCTGCCAGAGACACCATGCTTGAGCCCTGGCCTGGTGGGAGGGACTCCTGGGTCCAGCATCCCCATCTGAAACCTATGGCAGGCCAGTCTGTAAGATGGGCCTCAAGCCCCAGTCTGTTTCAATGAGATGCTGCATATGTGCACGCGGAGGAGGAGGATGAAGGTTGATAACATAGAAGCCTTCCTGTTTTTTCCTAGTGGGGAGTCAACTGAGTTGGAGGGGCCGGTTTGGGGCCCTCTGTCAGCTCCCTGGAAAGGGTGGGTAATCTGGGCCACAGACAGATTTTTCCACACAGCTGCTCCATGGGGTTAGAAAGGAAGACCACCATATGCCCTTCAGAAGAGGGGGGATATGGGAAGAGGGGTGATTTGTGGCTAGTGCTGCCCCACTTCTTCCCCTCCCCCAAGGAGTCTTTCCCTTCCATGGTTCACAACCAAACCCTGAGCAGGCCCGTCGCCCTGGTCAGCAGGCCGCTGAGCTGAATTGTAAGAAAGCATAGAGTGCAGAGAGCTAGCCGCGCAACTGCGGGAAACATCACACGACTCACGTTTCCTGAAAGCTGCCAAGAGCGACTCGGGAACTGCTGGGAAATAACTCCATGGGAGGGTCGAGCCAGCTATTGTTTGCTGGGAGTTTGGCTTCTGAATTCCTACTCTTGCTCTTTAATTGGGCAAAATCTTTAAACTGAAAAGCTTTTCACCGGGGGCTTTAAAAACCAACAATCTGGGGGTAGGAAAGTTCCACTAAAATCCATAAGGGTGTAAATGGGAGGCAAGTTCAAATTACAGTCAGACTTTCGCTTCTCTGGCCCTGGCTCTAAGTGAGTCCCTTGTTTCCTCCAGAGGCAGGATCCGAATTCAGAGATTTGTGCATTCCCTGCAATTAAGCCCCTTCCACCAGGCAATGGACCAGCCTAGCGTGAAAAGTGGTGCTAGCATCATTCACCACTATGGCTAAAGTTCACCTCTTTGGAGAGGGCCAGCCCAAGGCCTATGGACTGCCCAAAGCAAACTTATTTGTCTTTCAGTAGCACCTAGAGGCCCCAACCCAGACTGGTGCCCAGCACAGTGGGGTCCGGTACCCGACTCATCCTGCCTCCTAGAATTTACTACAATCCATGCAAAAGATCAAAGTAAATTGCCAGCATGTTACAAAATTCCGTTCCTTTTTCCAAGGAGCCACTCCCACTTTCCCATACGAGTAACATACACTAAGGTATCACTCACTCCAAGAAGCCCCATGTTCGTTACAGCACTGTCTAGATGAAAACCTAGATGCACAAACTCTACGTCCGTTCTACAGCACTTGTATTGCAAGCACCTGCCAGCTAAGTCATGGCTCTGCGCAAGTTCTTGCACCAACGCACTCAGCATCAGAATACATTCACTGCCCTCCATGCTGCTGGTGCCCCTCTGCATGCATGTCCCCTGGACTCTGCCCCTGACTGAGTTCCCAGAGCAAACGGGGGTAACCACGACTCCCTCGGCGCCTGTTTGCATCGGGATAAAAAGCCATGCGTATTGTCACCAATTCAGCTGGCACCCGACCACGTGGGGCTAGAAACATGGTTGGCCTCGCAGTGTCTTTGAGGGGCTTTGGGGTGGGGGAACCGTAGGAGGCAGAAAATGAAGACGGCAGATACATTTAGGGAACAATGCTGAAGATAGCCCTCCAGAAAGTCAGCCAGCACGGAGCAGAGGAGTGAGGCAGCCAATGCCCCAGGCCGCTGAGAGATTAAGCCCCGATAGTCAGTGATCCCTTCATTGCTGTCACTAAATACGCTGTTCACTGCAGAGGCTCAGCAACATGGGTCTTGCCTGCCAGTTCAGCCCTGCTATCCTGTGTCACCGGTGTCTGGTGTGTGTCCCATCAGGGGAACTGTCAGGTGAAAACTGTTTTGTTGCATCCACTCCTGCCCATTTCTGAAGGCGTCAGTCCCCCTGCGCCAGAGGAGAACGTGTCCTAGGAGCTGCACGTGAGCCGTTCCTGCTGGCGTGAAGCACAAGACTGACTTGCATGTTTGCAGTTTAATGCTAGTGGAGGGTGCTGGATTGACGGCCTAGGAAAATGAATTCCTTGATCCACGCAGAGCCAAATTTTTCAGGCGAGCCCTGCACCCAGTGTGCTGAGCTCCTTTGAAAAACTGGCTCCAGTTGTGGGTGCTGAGTCCCGCTGACTATTCCAGCCGTAATGTATCCACAGTTCAATCCCCAGATTGCTGTACCAACAGGCCCTGATCTGGAAGGGTCACTTCTACGGTGGAGAGGGTTGTACAGTGCCTGTTAAAATCCTTGGCTCACTTGCTCAGACTGCCAGCTGGAGTTGTGGTTTCCTTGGCGTGGATATAAGAATGGCCGTACTGGGTCCATCCAGCCCAGTATCTTGTCTCTAACAGTGGCCAGTGCCGGATGCTTCAGAGAAAATTAACAGAACAGGGCAACTTTGAGTGATCCATTCCCTGTCATTCAGTCCCAGCATCTGGCAGTGGGAGGTTTAGGGACACCCAGAACACGTGATTGCGTCCCTAATCATGTTGGTTAATAGCCATTGCTGGACCGATCCTCCTCGAATTTACCTAATTCTTTTTTTAACCTAGTTATACTTTTGGCCTTCACAATATCCCCTGGCAATGAGTTCCACAGGTAGACTGTGTGTTGTGTAAAGAAGTACTTACGTTTGTTTTAAATCTGCTGACTAGTAATTTCACTGTGTGACTCCTAGTTCTTGTCGCTGAGCTATCCCCTCCCCCCCCCCCGAAGGGGTAAATACCTATTCACTTTCTCCACACCATTCATGATTGATAGATCTCTATCATATACCCCCCTTAGTCATCTTTTTTCTAAAATAAACAGGCTTTTTAATCTCCTTGTATGGAAGTTGTTCATACCCCTAATCATTCTTGTTGCCCTCCTCTGCCCTTTTCCAGTTTAATACAACGTCTTTGAAATGGGGCAACCACACAGTATTCAAGGTGTGGGTGTACCATGGATTTAGATAGTAGCATTATGATGTTTTCTGTTTTATTATCTTTCCTTTTCCTAATTGTTCCTAATATTGTTAGTTTTTTTGACTGCACACTGAGCAGATGTTTTCAAAGGACTATCCACAACAACGCCAAGATCTTTCTTGAGTGGTAACAGCTACTTTAAACCCCATAATTTGTATGTATAGTTGGGGTTATATTTTTCCAATGTGCATTACTTTGCACTTACCAACACTGAATTTCATCTGCCATTTTGTTGCCCAATCACCCAATTTTGTAAGATCCCTTTGTAACTCTTCACAGTCAGCTTTGAACTTAACTATCTTGAGTAATTTTGTATCATCTGCAAATTTTTCCATCTCACTGTTAATCCCTTTTTCCAGATCATTTATGAATATGCCGAACAGCGCTGGTCCCACTACAGATCCT